GGGGCCCTCTGGTGTCCCAAGCCAGTTCTTAACCATCGCGCCACTCGGCCAGCCCTGTATATTTACTTTTAAAATAAATTGCCAACTGCTTTCCCAAGTGATTTTACAGTTAGGACTGTTATGTCTTCTTGATGAATTGGCCCTTTTATCACTGTACACATTTTCTTTTTAGCTCTGGTACTATGTCTTCTCCTAAAACCCACTTTATTTGTTATTAATATAGCTACTCCTGCTTTCTTATGATGTTTCCATGTGTACCTTTTCCCCTCTTTTTATTTTTACCCGCTGTGTCATTATATTAATGTGTGTTTTTTGTAGATAACATAGTTGTGTCTTGCTTTTTAAATCCAACCTGACAATTTGTCTTTTAATTGGTATGTTTAATCCATTTACAGTTAATGTAATTATTGATATATTTGGGTTTAAATCTACCATCTTGTAATTTATTTTCTATTTGTGCTATATGTTTTTTGTTTCTTTTTCCTCTTTTCATGCCTTCTTTAGATTAGAAGCTTTTTTTGGTTTTTGTTTAATATTTTATCTCCTCTATTAGCTATATTTTTATATATGTATATATGCTTGCATGGATATATTTATGTATTTTGGAGCTGCAAAATATCTAGGGTTTTTGAAATAATATACCATTTTGAAATAATATTATAATACCATATCATATAAAATATAAGTAGCTTACAATAATGTATTTCTCTGATTATTTATTATTGTCATGTTTTATTTCACATGTGTCATAGACTCCAAATACATTGTTATTTTTTCTTAACTGTATGTTAAATAAATTTAAAAAGAATACAGTGTCTTTTATATTTACCCACACATTTATCAATTCCAGTGTTCTTCATTCGTGTATATACCCAGATTTCATCTGATATCGTTTTCCTTTGCCTAAAGAACTTCCTGTATTGTTTTTTCTAGTGTTGCCCTGTTGGTAACAATTTCTTTCAGCTACTGTTTGTCCTAAAATGTCTTTATTTTATTTTCAGCTTTGAAGGAATCATTCTGTAGATATAGAATTTTAGGACGATAGATTTTTCACTTTTAGCCTTTTAAAGATGTTCTGTGTTCTTTGAGGTTGCATTGCTTCCCATAAGAAGTCAGCAATACATTTCATCCTTGAACAATGTGGGGTTTAGGAGAACTGACCTCCTGTGCAGTTAAAAATCCACGCATAGGGCCGGCCGAGTGGCGCGATGGTTAAAAACTGGCTTGGGACGCCAGAGGGCCCTGGTTCGGATCCCACATATGAGGGCCAATGACACTGCCCTCTACAGCTAAGATGCTGAACAACAGCTCAACCTGGAGCTGGGCTGCCCTGAGTCACTGGCGACGTAGGCTGCAGCCCCTGTGGCAGTAGGTTGCCATGGGCTACCGCATGTAGCCAGCAGTCAGCGTGAGTATCCAGCAGCCTGCATGAGCGGCTGTCCAGAAGCCGGCGACTGATCTGCCTNCGCGTCCTCAACTCGGGTTTTCTCGTGATTCCGCGTCTCCCAGCGCGGGTGTCTTACCGTTCTCAGGTACGCGGCTCCTCATACGCCCCCTCCTCAGACTAGTAGATAGAGGAGTCCGTTACCACCCCTTCCAGCGTCGAGTGGAAACTACAGCCCTGGGGCGGGAGGGGGGCTGCAGGGTGCGGGGGCCGAAAAGTGACGAGTGGATGCGAGGAAGGGACAGAGATGCGTGGGTAGGACTCTGTTCCAAATCAACTGACTGAAGCAAACATGGTATCACTGAACTTTGAGTTAGGTGTCAGTGGAAGTATGTACTGAGGGGAAAGTTCGTTTTTCGAGCTTCGTAATTTAGAGGTAATATTAAATACAGAAGCTTGTATTCTACAGATTATTTTTAAAATGGGGCGCCCCTCTGTTATAATATGGCACATTCCTTGACGCCCACGGGGATAATCCCGGAGCCCCACCTCTTATTTTAGGTCCCGCTCCTTTTAAAAACTGTGGCATGTAAATTCTTTTATTCACTTTGCTTGACGCTTTAAGTCTTTTTTTTTTTAAAGGTTATAGTTCCTGCGGTTACTTTTACTTCCATTTTCTCTTGTAATCCTCACAGTAATCTAGAGAAGAGAAACCGAAACAGTTTTCTCATTTTGCAGCCTAGGGGCGATAACCCAAATTATCAGTCAGAGACAGCTGGGACTTGAACCTACAGCTGCTGATGTAAAATCAGCACTGCTATTTTCCAGAGCATCATAAGCACCTGTACTGGTTATAGTCACAAATAGAAAGCGGGCTTGAGTTGTCAATCTACATGTAACTAATGGAGTCCATAGATTTTTGAGAACTTCTAGGTCAAACTGGCACTAGGTATAAACCATCAATGCCTCAGAAAAGCGATCTGTCTGTGTTCTTGCTGCTTAAAGTGTAGTGGATGAACTACCAACAACCACATCTCCTGGTATCTTGTTAGAAATGTAGAATATCAAGTCTCATCCAAGACTTCCTGAATCAGAACCTGCGTTTTAACAAGACCTCAAGTGATTACTTATGCACATCAAAAGATGAGAAGCACTAACTGAAATAGGAAAGTTTATATGTTTTCTATTTAATTTTTCATTCCAGGTAAATATGACTAAAATGCCTTGCATCCTGATTTTACTCATCTTTTCAGTAAAAGTGCTTCCTGAAATCCCTAACAATATCCTTGTAGCAAAACAAGTTCTTTTCAATTCTCAGAGTTCTCTCTCTTTCTGTGTTGTTTAACCCTGTTAGCTCTCCTTAAACTCTCCTCTCTTGTTTTTTTTAAGTCAACATATTGAGGTATAATGTACAGAAATAAAATTTTCCCATTTTAAATGTACAGTCCACGAGTTTTGAGAAATGTATATACTTGTGTAACCACAGCCACGAAAAAGATATAGAACATTTCCACAACCTTGAAATTCCCTTATGCCTCTTCCTAGTCAAGCCCCCCCAACCTCTGATTTAATTTATATCACTAAAGCAAGTTTTACCTGTTCTAGAACTTCATATAGTCAGAATTAAATGATATGTATTCTTTTGTGATTGGCTACTCTCATTCAGCATGTTTTTGAGTTTCACATTGATGTTTTGTAATGGTAGTTCCTTTTTATTGCTGAATAATATTCCAAATTTGAGTTGTTTCTGGTTTGGGGACTGTTATCCTTAAGCTGTTATGGATATTTATTAGGTCTTTTTGTGTACTTACATTTTCTTTTTTGTAGGTGAATACCCAGGAGTGGAATTGCTCAGTCATATGGTAAGTGTATATTTACTTTTTTTTTTTTTAAGATTTTTATTGGGGAATTGGGGGGATGGGAACAGTGCTGGGTTATTGGGGGAAGGGGAACAG